AACTTAATGTGTTTAATGTTTTTTTCTTATTGTATTTCTTTACTGAATTCTTATTAAGCCAAATTGGTTATATATCTTTTGTTTTTAGTTAATGGTATGTACTGATATATATATATATATATATATATATATATATATATATATATATATATGTTATTATATATATATATATATATGTATATATATATACATATATATATATATACATATATATATACATATACACATATAGTATATATGCCACATATATATATATATGGGTTAATATATATATATATATATATACAATATATATATATATATATACATATATATATATATGTTGTTATTATATAGTATATAAGACAGTATATATACACATATATATATACATATATATATACATTATATATATATATATATATATATACACATATATATATATATATATATGTTGAAAATATTATATATATATATATATATATACACATATATATATATATATAATAATATTGAGTTAGTATAGTATATATATATATATATATATATATATATATATATATATATATATATATATATATATATATATATGTTTAAAGGGATACTTTAAGCACCTAAACAACATGGAATAAATAAACCAGTTGCACTTTGTATATGCTGCCCTAGCCACTATCCCACTAACAACTTCCCAGAATAAAACCAAAAACATTTTTTACAGCACATTTTGTTTACTTTAGAAAAGTGTATTTCTGCTCTGTTAATTGAAGTTTAATTGCACACAGGAGGCTACTGTAAGCTCCACCAGGCAATTTACATTCTAAATTAAACACATTGTGCAATATGGAAATCTAGAATAGTTATTATTATTATGATGATATTTATATAACGCCATCAAATTCCGCAGCGCTTTACAATGGGTGGACGAACAGACATGTAGTTGTAACCAGACAAGTTGGACACACAGGAACAGAGGGGTTCAGGGCCCTGCTCAATGAGCTTACATGCTAGACGGAGTGGGGTAAAATGACACAAAAAGGTAAGGATAGTATTAGACTAGTGAAAGTTGCAGAAGAGGAATCCCTCAGGAGCTATTAACAGTTTAATTGATACGCTTTTATGAAGAAGTGGGTTTTTAACAATTTTTTGAAGGAGTGGAGACTGGGTGAGCATCTCACGGTGCAGCCCTCTAGAAATTGTGAAGGCGATCATCAGAGGTGGGAGTACGGACAGAAGATAGACGTAAGTCTTCAGCAGATCATAATGGCCTAGATGGGACATACTTGTGTATAAGGGAGGATAGATAGGTGGGAGCAGCATTATGTAGAGATTTGAAAGCAAGATCCAGAATTTTAAATTGAGCTCTATATTTTATAGGAAGCCAATGTAGGGACTGACAGAAGGGTGAGGCATGGGAAGTGCTGGCGGACAGGAAGATGAGCCTCGCTGCCGCATTCATTATGGACTGTAACGGCGCAAGTTGGGAGCACGTAAGACCACTGAGAAGCGAATTACAGTAGTCAAGGCTAGAAAGGACAGTGGAATGGACTAACACCTTAGTCACATCTGACGTTAAGTAGGGGTGGATGCGCGCAATGTTTTTGAGATGGAAATGACAGGATTTGGCGATAGATTGAACATGAGGCTTGAAGGAGAGGTCGGAGTCAAAGAGAACACCTAGGCAGCGAGACTGCGTGGTGGAGCTGATGGTAGCACCGTTGACTTGGAGGGAGACAGACACAGGAGTAACAACACTTGAGGGAGGAAAGACCAGAATTTCAGTTTTGGTCAAGTTTAGTTTAAGGAAGTGGGCAGCCATCCAGTTAGAAACAGCAGAGAGGCAGTCAGATACACTAGTCAAGAGGGACGGGGAGAGATCAGGAGAGGACAGGTAGATTTGTGTGTCATCTGCATAGAAATGATATTGGAAGCCAAAGGAGCTAATGAGTTTACCAAGGGAGGCAGTATAGATGGAGAACAGAAGGGGACCAAGGACTGAACCTTGGAGGACACCAACAGGGAGGAGTTGGAGAGAAGAAGCAGAGCCAGAGAAAGAAACACTGAAAGAGCGCTGGGAGAGGTAGGAGGAGCACCAGGAGAGAGCAATATCTTGTAGACCGATATTGCGCAGGATGAGAAGAAGCTGTTGATGATCAACAGTGTCAAAAGCCGCAGACAGGTCAAGGAGAATTAGGATAGAGTAGTGACCATGAGATTTTGCAGCGAGTTAGTCTCTTTTTCAGGATGTTTGTATAGAGGCTGTGTTAATTAAAAAAAGTGTGCTTAGTTCTGCTTAAACAAAGTGATTTAACTTCATATGGCAGAGAATTGAGGAATGACATTGCAGTGGCATGATCTATACAGGAAAATGACTTTTTTATGCATAGAGTTTCCCTTTAAATAATTTTCGTTTGTCCTCTGTGTTATTATCAGAGAAAAAAAAAAAAGCCATTGCCATTCAATGAGATGTAAAGTAACTTTGTTATACAAAATATTCAAAACTTACCAAGGTTGTTTTATTCATAGGAACCAAAGAGAAGTAGCGTACTTAAGACATAATGAATTGTTTTTCTATTTGTCATTTATTTTCATTTATTTCAAGTTTTCTGTGTGATTGAAACTGTAATTTAAATTTTCTTTAAAGTAAAAAAATAAATATATATATATATGTATAAATATATAAATATATATATATATATATATATATATATATATATATATCACGTTAAAGGTGTCTTTATCACGGATATTGACTGGTGATCTGTTTCCTCTCTTCTTCACAAGTGAAGAATAAATGAACAGAATAAACAACACCAACAAAACTACAGAACATTCATTTAGCTGTGGGGACAGTGAAGGTGTGTTTGAGGTCACACTTTTCATATGTACACTTTCACATGGTTATTCTCTAAACTCTAGATTTTGTTTGGATGGAGAAAATCCAGTGAAAATGGCTGAATTTTGACCACAATAGCAATTTCACAGATGCATTTGGTGTCCAATTTAAAATCATTGATTTTGCATCCAAAAGTATAAGATTTGGAAGAATAACAAAGCATGTGATTTAACAAAATTCGGAATCAAATACATCATTTAGGATGCACCTTTGAATATCGTGTAATATTAACCCCTTAGGGACACATGGCATGTGACATGTCATGATTCCCTTTTATTCCAGAAGTTTGGTCCTTAAGGGGTTCAACTACTTTAACATATATTACACAAGCTCACTCAGTTTTCAAACATAGTCAATTTGTTCAAGTGCCCATTACCACTTCTCCCAAATCTATTCACAATGCTGTGAAAAATGTAGAGACTCAGCCAAAAACCTTATGAAAAGCTACACCATCAAATCATTTAAATTATATTCGTTTTGGTAAAAAGCAAAAGGTTTTGCAGCTTTCTACAGCATAACCTTCTAACCCTGTATCTTTAACTATGTTTCCTCTTTTCACTAAGAAACTTTCTCCTCAGATATATTTTGTGTATGTTCTCAGGAGCTATGCTGCCACCATCACTCTGCCCCGGACACAATCACTGTCCTTGTATCATTTTAGCCTTTACCCTAAATAATACAAGGTCAGTGATTGTGAGAGGCATGAAGTCAGCAACTCAGCTCCCAGTGAGCTCTCATTTGCCGAGCTGAGTATGCACTCAGTATACATTGTTTCAAAGGAGTTGTTTTTTCTGTTCTTAAAATGATCAAACAAGTTTGGTTAACTGAGCTTTACTTTACTTGAAAGTCCCTTAACATCAGTATGCAGGAGGAAATATCGAATTGCTCCTTTATCACACAAGTATTCTAAAAAAATACATTTAAAAACCTAATAAAATATTAAAAAAAATGCTTCCAATATGTATAGAAAATGACATGTAGCTATTAATGTAATGCAACATTTTTGAGTGACTTGTGAAATGAAGCACATTGTAATGTATGTGCATTAGGCACAACTGATGGATGTATTAGAAGACATTTGACAGAACAGTAAGCAATAAAAATGTGTTTTTGTTTCTATGTGTTGCCTAATTTAATGTCTCCCAAATGTGAAGGAAAAAAAAACTAATTAACATTTAGACCCTACTTGAACAAACTCATTGGTTCATATTTACCAATCAGACAAAGATGTAGGATTCGGTATTTGCTCCAAGTTGCCCGGCCAGACATTTAATTTTAAAGTTTATCTGGTTTTTGAAACCTTGTGCTATGTATGCCTGTATATTTTATTGCACATATATAATATGATCCAGAACAAATGAATTTCAGATCTCACAGCCTCCTTTCTCAATTGAAAAAGATACAGATACCTACATGATAGTCTACAGTTACAGAATTTATTAGAGTGCCGCATTAAAAAAAAAAAAAACATATTAGAGTTAATTATTCAGCACAGGGTGTGGGTATTGCTGTTGGTGCAGATTTAGTTTTGCAAGCTTGGGCTTAATGGGGAAAAAGCATCTAGTATGTGTTTGTATTGTTTACATATAGTTTATACTATTGAGCACAGAATAAATTGCAAACCTATGCCATCTCCTCTGTTATAGGCTAGTACACTTGATGTTTTCTCTTAATGGAACAGCGCCTTTAAGGTAAAAGAGTATTACAGAAGATTTAATGGTACAAAGTGTGAATAGGTCTTTTTTTTTTTCCGCAAGGTGCTATTAATCAGGCACCATATGGTCATAGCTATATATGTGGAGACCATCCATGCAATTTGCATTATGCAGCAGAATGATTTAATTCCCACTTTGCCACAGTTTACATGGCTTACACTTTTTCAACAGAATTCTGAATTTGTTGTGGTCCATTAACCTGCAATCCCATATTATAAGGAATGAAATAAAACAAAGTGAATTTTGTCAGAAATCTCTAAGCAGCTGTCTTTTTGTAGATGAATGTGAAGGAGAGGGCATGTGATTGAGGATACAATGCAAGAAATTAGTGTGCATCCAAATCCATGAAAATACTTATACTTGTAACTCTCTCTCGGTGGAATTCTGTAGCATTGCAACTGCTCACACCTGTATTTCTAATTCCAATGTATGGTCTTCCAGATCTCAATAACATAGAAAAATAAAATGCATCCAGAATGAAAAGTAGAATGGATGCATTTTATTTTTCTATGTTATTGAGATCTGGAAGACCATACATTGGAATTAGAAAACTGCCTGAGAGCTACATGGATTTTTGATACGTCCTGTTTTAACATTCAAAGTGTGAGTGACCCATTTAGCACATATCACTATTATAAGAGTATCATACGGAGTTGCACTATGTTATTTTTTATTTCCCTATAGTTGGATTGACCCATATTTGTATTCATGTATTTGTGGAAGATTTGAGGAGATCTTCGGGTTTAAATCTACAACTTAGAGGGAAATTTTTTAATTCACATTTTTCATTCACTGGAGGCACTTGGTGTTATATACAATATTGGTGCAATTATAATATCACAGAGTGATACAGTGAAAGAGTCTGTACTTTTCTCTGCCACAGATATGGTGGATGTCTCTCCTTGAGACAGCCCCATCAACGTTAGAAGGCTCCATAAGAGAGCATTCCTTGCCAGGGACCTATCCTCTTCATCTTCTGAGGAGGATATAGTCCTAGTTAGTAAAAGAAAAAAGAAGGGTTGCCTTTCCTCTTCACGTTCTGAGGATGAATTTGATTTTGGTCCCTCTTCCCCTCATTCTCGTTTGAGTAGTCAATGTTTTAAAGGAACGGTACATCCAAAAGCGTCATTCATCCACCCTAAGCTGGTCCTGAATGAGGGAAATTGAGCAACATTCAGATGTACAGAGTGAGCCTTTTAGGTAAAGTGAGCTAGGAATGGTAGAAGCAGATAAGGCCTCAATAGGACAGAAACAATAGGGGGTAACCCTTAGAGATAAATTGAAGACAAGAGAGAAATATTCTGTCCAATGGCCTATAGCGAAGTTAAAATATAAATTTTAATACATAGGTTAAGAAGCTAGAAAGGAGTCTAGCTCTAATTAAATCACATAGAGTAAAATAAAACCAAACGTGGAGGGGGTGAACGAGGGGTAAAGGTTAGGAAATATATACAAAAGATATATAAGCTGATAATTCCTCTAAGGTGTTAGCTTAAACAAGCAGTGGAGTAACTGCAAATATCTTTCCACAGATATGTGGGGTGGCAGCTAATTAAGATGTAAACTACACTGTTGCAGTAACCCTACTAAAATAGTCTAGTGGAAACAAAATATCCTTGTAACCAGGAAAATACAGAGAGCCTAAGGTATCTAAATAGTGTGAAATTAAATATCTCAGTAGAGAGATCACTAGAAATATACTGTAGCTAGTACAAATAGCTGAAAGTTGCTGCTTGGATAAAGAATCAAGGGAGCCTAAATGTAATCTGGTACGGAAACGCCACTGAGGCGTCTAGAGTGCTTATTATCGGTCAATCCTTCAACTATTTTTCAACATTCACTGAACTCACTGGCTGCATGCAGCAGGGATGTCTGATTTGGCACCTAAATCACATGAATTCCCTAATTTTGAAAACTCCTTTCTTTTTGGCCCCTCTTTTATACAAGAGGTGAAAGGACAATACAAGGCTAGGAGATCTTACTCTGATTTAAATAAGAGCTTTTCAAGCTAGAAGAAGCCCTTTCAGACCAAGGGTCGTTCCTACATGGCTACAGGTTCGTCCTGGGAAGTTACTCAGCAAGCCCACTTTCGTCACCATGGGGGAAAGTCAAGACCCCCAGGCAGAAGCAGAAGAGCTCATGCAAGATGTGGCTCATCAGGAAACCGAAGACCCATGCAGTCAAGTAAGTGGTTTACCTCACATCCCTCAAAATTGGTCAGATATAACCTTGCACAAATGGGTGCTTCAGATTTTAAAAAGGGGTTTACAATTCCCTCTGATTGAACGCTTCTCTTTTTCTATTCTTTTCCAGAGTCAAGCTTTGGGCAGAGAGGTAAATCCAGTTCTAGATTCATCTCTTTCCCAGGCACTAGCTCAGGGAAAAACAGAATTGGCAGATTTGCCAATTTCAGGTTGGATCAGTGCCTTGTTCCCTATTCCAAAATCAGACGGCACGTGGAGACCAGTACTAAATGTCAAGGCTTTGAATGCTTTCCTAAAGAGGAAAAGATTCAGGATGGAAGGTTTAACAGACCTCCCAGGCCTAGTGCAGAAGAATGATGATCGAGAAATTTAAAGCATGGGAAGTGTCCTTTAATTCCCTATCCCATGAATCTGACACAATTCCCTTAGCTTTGGAATTCCTCACACTCAAATATCATTTAGGGTTAGTGGTCAGTACTATTAAGATGTATGGTTCTGCATTAAATTTTCTAATCCCTAATCTGACCCAAGGTTATGCCTCCCGGAGGGACAAAACAGAGTTTGCAGAAATCGATGACCTGCAAAATTTCTTTGACCTAGGGATAAGCATAACCACCTTGCAAAGTTCCCATCCCTCCTTCCCCAGGTTTATTTGTAGTGCCTGGTGGCAGGGTATTTCTCTGGTTTGGGAATCTGCTAATTAAAGTAATTTTTTGTGTTTGTTTTCTTTTTCGCTTATATATTTATATTTATTCTGTTTATCTTTACAGATTACAACCGGCTACCCAGACAGGATCATCAAGCCAAGAACTCTCCTAAGTAGTTCTGGAGGTTAAGAAACTTCTTCCAGAAGTTCTTTGATTATGAGTTATACTATACTAATATTTCTCACAGAGATTGTTTTTCACCTTGATGATCAAAAATTGTTTTGTTATACTTTCATATGTCACTATTAACTGTCAGTACACGAGAAATGTTTCTTTTTTTTATTGTTACTTTATTATATTTTCCACTCTGTTGACATAACCCTTTCATAGGAGTAAGTTCGTGTTTGGTTGAGTAAAGAAAACATTGTTATCCCCCTTACATTGACAGTGGTGCTCTTTTTCCTTTATTATATTTCTCTATCCTATTTGGGGGTTCTTTGTCTCTGGATGAGTTAACCATCTTCACTATCCCAATTTTAAAATCTGAGGTGAACAGGGTTGCTGCGAGCTGCACTGCTGCCTGATCATCTGATTGGCTAAAACGCTGTTGCTGTGCAGGAGCACAGCACAAGCAGTTTTTAGCGTGGCAAAATATTTCTCCGGGAGGCTGCCACATACCCACTAGCTTTGCTAGGTGGTTATGCTTATCCCGAGGACAAAGAAAATTTGCAGGTCATCGATTCCTGCAAACTCTATTATGTTTCCATGTTTCTACATGCACCTGAGATCCTACTCATACTGCCCCTGAACACCTCATTAAGTACCTACATTATAATTCAGTCTTGCATATTAGTGGCTCCACTAACATCTTTTTTATAGGAACTGAAGTTTTAACTCTGTTAACCCATCGTCTTTAGAATTGTGATCCCTTTATCTTAGTCCTGTCTGGCAGGTTGTGAAACCTTACTTCTACATAATGACATCTGATACTCATGAACAAACCTGATCTGGTAGTGAAGTTAAACTCTAAGTGACATAATTCTTGCTAAACATAATTTATCTATTGCAATGCCAATCATTGAGAGCTTTGCTGGGTCCTCAGTGGTATAATCAGAACAGGAACATTCAGAGTAAATATTAAAATCAATGAACTTTAATTGTGAACCCATGGGGTGTTAAAAACAAGAAGATAACAACTATGAGTACAGTGACATAAACTACTGTGATGTAGAACAAATAAAATAACTACATATAGTCTATGCATTATGTTTAAGAACATTTTGAAGACCTGGGTCTTGAAAGATAACTGTAATTCAAGAGATCATAATATAGGATTACTTAAAATTTATAGAAATACAATTTTAACTTGCCACTTCTTCCAATATTGCTTATGTAAAGCTTATCAATACTGCACAGGGCATTATGCTTAAAGGACCACTATAGTGCCAGGAAAACACTCGTTTTCCTGGCACTATAGTGCCCTGAGGGTGCCCCCACCCTCAGGGACCCCCTCCCGCCCGGCTCTGGAAAGGGGAAAGGGGTTTAAACTTACCTTTTTCCAGCGCTGGGCGGGGAGCTCTCCTCCTCCGTCCTCCTCCCCGCCGACTGAATGCGCACGCGCGGCAAGAGCTGCGCGCGCATTCAGCCGGTCGCATAGGAAAGCATTTACAATGCTTTCCTATGGATGCTGGCGTGCTCTCACTGTGAAAATCACAGTGAGAAGCACGCAAGCGCCTCTAGTGGCTGTCAATGAGACAGCCACTAGAGGATTAGGGGGAAGGCTTAACCCATTAATAAACATAACAGTTTCTCTGAAACTGCTATGTTTATTAAAAAATGGGTTAACCCTAGCTGGACCTGGCACCCAGACCACTTCATTAAGCTGAAGTGGTCTGGGTGCCTAGAGTGGTCCTTTAAATTACAGTATATATGTCAGATAATATGGACTTCAGGCAATTACTGCATAAAAAGGGTAATCTGGCTCTCATACCTATGAATTACATTGTGTGTTATTCAGTTTTGCTTCCTATTTTGTCAGTTTTCAAAGAGTTTTATTCCACCTTCAGAAGCAAAAAAATAACATACAAAAAAAAAAAACATGCCAACTGCATAACAAACTACAGCATGTTAATGCAAGAGTGTTGTTAGACCCAGTCTACCTTTACAAAAGAAAACAATGAATGTAAAATTATTTCCAGTCAAATTGTATCCAAACCTCCTGGGTAACAACATCTAATCAGTGAGCTGGGAAATTCATGTCAAGCATTTCAATGCACATCTGCATAGCAGGCAAAATCAAAGGCTTTTGGGTAATCACTCGTGCATACTGTATATAAAGTGTTTTAAGTGCTACTTGGGGAACCCGTCATGTATTGAAAAGCAACATATTTACACCTCGCTCCCATCCTGCTCACACCATCAGGAACAACATTAGAATTTAACTAGCCCAGTCCATGCAAAAAATGATTGCCTTCTTATAAGTTATAAAAGATAACAATAAGATATTTTTTAGATTGCAAGTTCCTCATTTGAAACAATGAATTTGTGTAATTTATTTCCTTGAATTGTTTTGGACATAAGTCCATATTTCCACCTATGTATTCATTTGGATTGGAGCAATGATGCTCATCCCTAGATATAAATATATTTGAAAACAACTTAAAATTCATGAGACAAATATTAAATTCCAGGTGACTAAA